ATCTTCAATTTCCTCATCTTTGACTTTGGTGGTTGGTGCATAAATTTGAGTAATAGTAGTATTAACTGGTCTTTCTTGTAGGTGTATAAATATTATCCTATCCTTGACAGCATTGTACTTCAGGGTAGATCTTTAAACATTCTTTTTTATAATGAATGTCATGCCATTCCTCTTCAATTTGTTATTCCTGGCGTAGTAATCATATGGTTGTCTGATTCAAAATGGCCAAAACCAGTCCATTTAAGCTCACTAATGCCTACAATATTGATCTTTATGCATTCCATTTCATTTTTGACAACTTCCAATTTTCCTTGATTCATACTTCTCACATTCCATGTTCTGATTATTAATGGATGTTTGCAGTTGTTTCTTCCCATTTTGAGTCATGCCACATGAGCAAATGGCGGTCCTGAAAGCTTTACTCCATCCACATCATTAAGGTAGGCTCTACTCTGAGGAGGCAGATCTTCCTCAGTCATATTTTGAGTGCCTTCTGACCTGAGGGGTTCATCTTCCAGCACTATATTGGACGTTTCAGGTCTATTCGTAAAGTTTTTCGGTAATAAATCTGACAGTGTTTCCCTGGTATTCATAATGTTTTCACTGGCCAATTCTTTGATAAGTGGATGGCCCCTTCCTTCTTCTGAGTCTGTCTTAGTCTGAAAGCTCTGCTGAAACCTGTCCATCATGGGTGACCCTGCTAGTATTTTAAATACTGGTGGGCATAGCTTCCAGCCTCGCAGCAACACACAAGGCACCACAGTAAGATAAACTGACAGACGAGTGGTGGTTTGAAGTATAGTGTTGGCAAAGAATATTGAATATACCATGGATTGATTGCTCTAAGAACAAATAAATCTGTCTTGGAAGAAGTACTGCAGAATGCTCTTCAGAAGCAAGGATAGCAAGTCTTCGTTCATCTCATGTACTTTGGACATGTTACCAGGAGGGACCAGTCCCTGGAAAACAACATCATGCTTGGTAAAATAGAGACTCAGTGAAAAGGAGGAAGACTCTTAATGAGATAGATTGACATAGTGGCTTCAATGGGCTCAAACATAGCAACAACTGTGAAGATGGCATAGGTCCAGGTAGTGTTTCATTCTGTTGTACCAACTCGACGGCACCTAGCACAAAACAACATAGCTTTGTAATTGAAGGCTGAGAGAAATAATAGCCTTAAGCCCCATCTAACAAAGTCTGGAGGGTCCCCCCTGAAGACTACATGGAATGACAGAAATCATCACTATGGGGACATCATTGACAAGGTTGCCACTAACTGGGGGGAGCAGAATGATTTCAGTACAACTTGAGTCAAGGAAACCAGATAGGAAGCTGCTAGAGCAGCCCAATCGAGTGATTGAACGATCTGGCAAGTAGATGTGGGATCACAAGAAGTAAAAATAGTGGGGACATATTAAGTATAACACATAGACCTTGATCACCACTTGCTGTGGGAGAAGCATAAGAAAGAACTCAGAGAAGATTTCCCAGGTTTCAGGCTTGGATGATATTCACAAAGACAAGATACAGAAGAAGGATGAATCCCAAACTCACAAGTACCTGTATACATCCAAAATGAAATGTCCAAATAAGAGCTCAGGAAAAGCTGGATTGCAGAGCTATCAAACCTAGCAGCACAGAAAATAGCTGAAGTCAAGGATGTAGATGACATAACATACTGGATTTGCTTACTTTTATCCTTTTTTTCAATGACCAGGCAATCAAAGCTCTTCTACCTGACTAGAACACATCATCTAATACTGTTCTGAGCATTAAAATGAAATCATATTGAAGATTTCAACCTTGAAGTTAATTGCAAAGTTTGTTGCAGATGGTTCATGTTTCAAAGATAGAAACAGTTTTCTAAGTGATTTGAGTGAAAACTTGAACATGACTCCCTGGTGACGCATTTCCCATCACAGATTGTAGAACTGCCAACAACAGGCCTTTCCTTTAGCTCCTGGGGCCTTAATTTCCCTAGGGAACTATTGTGGTTATTCAACTTTAAGACCTTGTAGGAAGAATCGCAGTTATTTCTCTCTGGGGTCTTAGGGCAAGAAACATGGAAGTAAATAGTTACTAAAGAGGGAGAAAGAGAAATAAACATGCTTTTAGCCAAATGTATGAACTCATTTTTAAAAGAAAAGCTGGCCACATTTTTACAAAAAGTATAAATTATTAGACCAGCACAGTACCACTACCCTGTTATGGTTCCTATTCATTGTAATCTACAGGAGGATGAGTGATCCACACCCATTTTGCTATTCCAAACACAACAGCGCATTTCATCATATAATAATTTTTGCATGTTATGGTTTTATAAAGATTGTTTAGGCCCAGTTTTGCCAACACCTGATGATCTTGGACAAATCTTTGTAAAATGCAGGTAATATCTGTTCTTGGCCCTAATGTTCTAGAATTCTGTGATCAAATGAAAGCAAGCATTTAATGAAACTACTCTTTGAAAAAAAAATTAAAAATTTAAGTACCTTATAAATTGAAGAATAACATGTTCTGCATCAGAAGCTCATCAGTTAAAATTATGTTGCAAAAATCAGTATTGTTCCTAATATTAGTAATAGCCTGCCATATGCTAAATGCCTAGTATGAGATGCTCCATGAAATTCCTTTAATTATCACAATAACCCATATGATGTTATCCTCTTTTTACAGATGGGAAAACTGATGCTTAGAAAGGTGACTTGGCCAATGTCACACAACTGGTAAATTATAGCTCAGCATTTAATCCTAGTCTATGTTGCTTCAAAAATAGTTTTAAAATTGTGTTCTAGAAAGAACTTCAGGTGGGAGTGACTAAAATCAAACCATTATCACTTTTCAGAGTTGAGCAGAAAATGACCCAGTGAATCTATAATCTTCCACAATCTTAATATGTTCCTTGCAGTTCTCATTTCATCAAAACTGTGACACTAAACAAGTACTGCTAAGTCATATATGTCTTTAAATATTTAGCAAAAGCAGATTTCAAGACACCTTAAAATGTATTGCAAAATGTACAGCATTTATTCACATACAGACAAAAAGGCACAAATTCTACTAAATAGTTCAACAAAAAAATACAGCTGTCCTCAACTAGTTTTATAAATACTTTCAAAAAGAGGATAGAAATAAATACAGGATTGGGCCATGTAATATAAAATAGTCATCTCTACATATATTTTGTTTAATTTCTGATTTTCAACTCTTCATGCACCTTTTTTTTTTTTCAATTTTAGCTGAATGGACACCAAGCTAGGCACATAGTGAAAAATCCTCTGTACAAGGTTACAAATGTAATGACAAGTTTGTCCATTTCAAAATAATTAATATTTGTACACAACACATATAACCCTTCATTTAGATTTCGTGTTTATAACCTAACAAATGACATTCCAGGCAACTTTACAAAAGTTTAACTAGCCTACATTTTGACATAATACATTGATCATAATCATATTTCTTGGTCAGGATGCACAAGGAAAAGATAAAGCTAAAAGAAAAAAAATTAAAAAAGGAAAAACAAGCAAATGGTTCCATACTTATAGAATGCAGTTGGGTAGGTTGGGTTGGTTGCTGCTTATGGCCACCTCATACAGAGTTCCCAGCATGACATGAAACTACCATACAAAGCTATCATTATACTGTCAGAGAAACCGTGCTCTAAACCATTTGCATTTCGAAGCAGGAATAAAAAATGTGGGCTTTTTATTTTTTGTGTGTTTTGTTTTTGTATGGGGTTTTTTATTATTAATTTTTTATTTTGTTTTTTATTTTTTTGGTTCAGCATAACTTGGAACGTTTGAAAGCTTTTCAACCTAAATGTGGGGAAAAAACAGGTAAGGCATTATTTTTGCACAAAACTAGCATTCCTAATAGTGCAAATGAATCTGAGACCTCTTAAAATGGTGAGAGGTCATACACTTACTAGAATTAATTTAGATTTTCTTTCTATGGCTTGACAAACTATCCCTCTATAAACCCTACTTTTACCCAGAGCTGTTGCTATAGTCAAAAGATTAACTGTAGATAGAGTCCACCTTCTCCTGAATCCAGCCAAAGGGTTTTGCTCATATGGGGGGGGGGGGGCGCTCTGATTTTCTATTATGGTACAAGTGAATGTACAACCTGGATTCATAACAACTTTCTAGTATCTGTAGCAACCAGCTTATCTGGAGAGCATTCTTTCAAAATGAGCCCCATAGCTCAAAAATAGTCAATCTATAAACCTGGGTCATTCTTTCCCCTCCCCTGAATTAGCTGCTAAAATGTACTCAAAAAGTTAAGACTTGGTTTGAAAATGTCATACATACAATGGGGATGCATCAGATCTACTATTTGATCATCTGATAAAACTTGCATAGCAAGATGGAATTCAATAAGCCTTTTTTTGTTGTTGACAATCATCTGGAAGACTTGAAAGTTAACTACAGAACTCAAGCATCATTCATTAAGTATCAGAATGTCCCTGCCATATGGAAACAGATGTATAAATGAATCAGATCTGAATACTGATAACTAAGGGGCAGTTTAGGGGAAGTCGGGCTTGTTCCAAGTGCCCATAATTCTAAATCTTGTTGCTATTTAAACTTACTTTCTTTTAAATTTGATTCACAACTACATTGAATTCCAAAAAAAAATAATAATAATAACAGGACCTTAACACTATCCACTGTCTTAATACATATGCACTACAGTGAGTGCAAAAACAGAACATTATACTCAAATTTAAGCTAAATTTATTATTGCTGATCACTTACTAGTTATTGCCATTTGCAATTCGAAAGTCTAAGTTACGATTAAGAGCTCACTTAGATCTCTGACTCCAGAAAACTTACTCAAGGGTAGACACTTCAACCTCTTTCCTTTACAACCTTGGTCAATGATAAGAGCTTATCGCAACTTATTGCCTTTCTATTGTTTTTAAAATATAACCTATTTTGCTTTTTTCCTTTTTTTTTTCTTTTTAATCTTTTTTTTTTTTTTTTTTTTTTTTCCCCCTAAAGGAATCCGTTCATGGTGGAAGCCCGGATTCCCTGACATATGCACTAGTGGTTGGCTCTGGGAAGTATGATTCACCAGAGTCTGGAAGTTCATCGTTTGAACTTTAATAGCCATTGTATTGTTGGAAGCCAGATAGCCAGGTATTGCCACTGGCCACAGAAATCCTAATTTGGCCCAAGGGCCAGTGGTTAGGGAAGAGCAAGTCAAGAGGACTGGTAAAAATTGGACCTCAGCTGCCCTTCCTCATAAACAGAACTCTCCTAATGGCTTCATCCTCCACCAGTCCCTATCTCCACACCCACTAAAGGGGCCTTGTGCTACACGTACCTTAGATCTTCAAGCTGCAGTAGCTCTATCCTATCCCTCCATTTCTTCCAGTAATGACCTTTTCTTAAATTCTCTTTCCCATTTGCTGTATTTACACATGAATTTCCTAGAGTTACTGAAGCTTCAGAGCTGCTGCCTGTACATTATAACACAACAAAAACAGCCTTGTGGGCCAAAGTATAAATATCAAGATCTACCACAGTCCTAGAAAATAAGTGTTATGGGCTATTAAATGGTCCATGAGAGTTTCTCAAGAACCATGTTTGATACCATATATACTCAGGTAACCAAGAGTTTGTGCTTTGGAAAGAATCCAGAGGGCAATAAAAACTCACCAGGCTTATTTAAGCCTTGCCCTCTTTAAAACTTATTTCATTCATTCTCATTTTAGTGTTGAATTCAGGTTCTAGTCTGAGCAGTCTTAAAATAACAATCTACTCTCGTGTTTCCTCAACAAGTTGCAAATAACACAAATATCTCACAATGATTTATAAATGATAGGAGAAAAAAATCGGTCTGAATTGCAAGTAAATGTGTTTGTGTAGCTCAGGAGTAATGGGCTGGTTTCTGCATGTCCACTCTCCTCTAGCACACCCACTGACAAGCTCCCGGTGCTTCCTCTACTCTATCATGAGGCCAAGATGCTTCTCCTGATAATGTCTGTCCTTCTGTTGATGGTGCTGCTGGCATGTATACATTTCTTTTCTGATGCTTCACTCTCTGAGTCACTCATTTCCACATCAGGGACATACCCATCATTCTCATTGTCAGATTTTAATTTGCTTTTGGCCCTTTCCTTGGCTGGAACTCGGCCTAAGCCCAAGTACGGGTAGTCTGAGTGCTGGTGGCAGGCCCCCTCATGGGCCTCTCCCTGCTGCTGCCGCTCCCCCTTCTTTGGAATCCGGAATCCTCCCCAGTTCTTCACTGGGCTGGCAGGTGTTGTAGGCACTTTGACTGCAGTCTGGTTATAGTTTACTTTGATTAGGGAGCCGTTGCACTTGGGTACTATCTCCTTCCTGTTGCCAGGCGCCAACTGCCCCACTGCTGGGGAGGTGGCAGCTCGTGTGTTGTCCAGATGCCTCTGGGACACATCTGTGGACCTGAGAGGCTTGTGACTCTGTTTAAAAGGTTTGTCTTTTAAGTCTCCCTTAATGAGATCACAATGAAAACGATTGTCTCTTCTTTTCCTGTGGTCTGGCATCACCACACCATTTTTCTGTTGTGCTGATATGATACGTGCTTCTGCAAAGGTCTTTTCAAAACTCAAAAAGCTCTCAGGGCCCACCATCCCCTCCCTTCTACCACAAAGGTCTGGCTGCTTCAGCAGAGTTCTGCCTTCGCTCCCAGTGCTATTCTGCAATGGATCTCGCTTGTGGGGCTTTTTCAGTGAATGAACCAAAGAAGTACCCATTTGTTTCCTGAAGAACGCAGAATGCCACTTCAAGTCCTCTATCTTGGGAGCATCAGGGCCCATAGAAGGACTGTTAAACAAAAGCATGTTTTCCAGTGAGGAGGAGGAGGAGCAGGAGGAAGAAGGCACACCTATAAGCATAAAACCACAAATAAAGAAAAATTACAGCAGAAATAAATCCTAGAGTCAAATTCTAGACCATTAGCATGGCCTATGCAAATTTCCCACCAAAGAGTCAACATAATTCATACCACCCCAGTGTATAAAATTGATTTTTAAAAATAGGACCTGCCTTTAGAATCAGCATTCCGTCTGCACACTCAACATGAAACATTTTCTAAAACAATTGAAGTTCATGTAATTTTTCATGAAATACCCTCTTTTCAAGAATTACATTTTCCTTCAAAGAAAGTAAATGATCCAATTTATAAAGGGTAATCCATACATCAGTCTGATCGGTAATCTGCTTCCTACACTCCTCCACCTTATTACAGAGCAGCGAGTTCGCCACATACTACCATTCATTATCTAGCCATTGGCCTTCCCTGGGAAGCATCAAAGGAGAAGGGGCAGAGGCTTTCAGTGTCTTTCTCCAAAGTGTCTACACCCTCCCAGTATTATGTGTAAATATGTGAATAAACTAAAGCAAAATGTTTACAATACCTGACACACAGTATTAAAAAACATTTACTATTGTATACAAAATCCCTTTGTGGGAGTCAAATAAATGAGCTGGCATAGAACTTGAGGTTATTAAATTGGTACTTTTCAAACTTAACTTTGACACTAATCACAATGAGATAAATTTCACAACCCAGTGAAAGCTCACATATAATAAAATAATATTAGCCCTCATCACCTGGTATGGCCTGCTCATATTTTCTATTCTATTTCACTTGTTTTTAATGATGGTCATGACCCACCAGATTCATCTCACAACCCACTAATGAGTCATAACCCACAGCTTGATAAACACTGGGTAGACTCATAGCACAGTGCGGTCCATCAGGGGGAAACTCATCTGTATGAGAGCCTCAAGAGCATCAATCTACAAAGAGCAGTTTCCATTTTTAGTCTTCTGTCTTCTATCAAGTATGACCCAACAGGAAAACATGGTTCAGCCCATAGAGTATGAGACAGCAGCCCCACCATACAAAAACATACTGCTGCGCAGACAAGGATACTGCAAGCAAACAGGACATTAAACTGGACTCTGAACTTACAACTGTCATGACCATAGCTGATGACATTTTACAACCTGCTGGTTTGGAGATGCCAGCTTTCTCAGTGGTCATGCACTAGAGTCAGCCTTAACACCACAACTTAACACATTTCTCAGTCATCTCACATAAGGAAACAGAAAGATAAGAGAGACTGATGTTTTCTGAAATCTCATTTCTCTCTACTTGACTTGGGATTCATGTTTCTGAAGGGCCTCTGATTCGTGGCCTCCTGTAAGCACTGTCTCCACTGAGAACTTACTCTCAATCAACTGAATCTCATTCAACAGAAGAATGACCCTGCCCACGCTCAGAATCACATAACAGAGTTTAAATCATGGACCCCAAATGACATGCATTAAGTCATGGTCATCTGCTCAGCTTCACCTGGAAGCATCTATCTTACAAGGCAGGAGCTTGACTTCAGGCATGAATAATTGAACATGTGAAACTGGGAAAAGAAAAAGAAAGGCATCCTAAAGAGTTTAGGCTCTAGTCCCTGTAGCATGCCACAGGAAGATTAATGTAGCCTTCAACTGATCATACCTCGTATGGTTCTTACCTCGCTGTGGAGGGAGGATTTGTTTTCTTTTTCTGCAACAGCAGCAGGACTTCGGAATGCAGAGCTTCATTACAGCTCTGCTACACAAAACCCTCCCTTCACCTTGTTATGAATCCCATCCACTCACCCAAGTAAAAGCCACAGCCATGAAATGCAACAAGCTACATGTAATGTCCATGAAAAATGACTCTTCACTGAAATCAGCTAAAGATGCCCTTTACAGCTTATTTTTATAGGAATCACTTATTACATAACAAGAAGTCACAGAAAGCCCTCCAATGGCACAACTACACATGGACAACTCGCAAGACTGATGCTGCCAGGCACCGTTTCTATCAGTGACTGCATCCAGCAACCTTCCTTCCATATGGTTATTAGCATAAGGACCAGAGGCCCAGGATAAAACATATTATTCAAGTATTTGAAGCAAGAATCTGAATCAAACTGCTTTTACATATGACACCATACTTGTAAAAATGTATTTTAAAGGGAAAGCTAAACTCCACACCCTAGTTAATGGTATTAGCTTGATACAGCTGGAAAACATTTAATCTTAAGGAGAAAATGTCAAGGATACTGTTATCAATAAGTTAATGCCAGTCAAACTATGTAACATTTCAAGAATACCATTAAAAACTTCCTAAGCTCTTTTCTATTTGTTCAGCTGACCAGTTTACCTCTAATCACATTTATCTGGTTAGACAGTGATAAGCCAGAATTTAGATTTCAACCTAACAGATTTTAACAATTTCTTTGTTGCTCATCATAATCCGGGTACAGAGATAAAAAGCCACCAAAGCAGAAAATAAGAGTACATGCCGACTGTGAATGTAATCAAACACTAAAACTACTGCAGCTATCCTGTAGTGGGCAGACCAAGGCAGAAGGGGAAGGCCAACTGTCTTCCCCTCAAGTCCAGTCTAAGACCTACCTGTTACATGTATCCATGACTCTGCCTGATCAGTATTATCTCCTTGGAAATTCTTCTCTAATAACTACTTTTTGATACTTATCACCAGAGTATTATTGCTGAAAGCCCCTTTAGAGGTCATGATTCTAGACCAAACCTCATTTAACAGATAAACTCCCAAAGGAGTTCAACAATTTTCCCAACTTTGCCCTCATTCTCCAAGTCTGCTGTAAATGTTCTCTAAACATGGGGCATGTCTTAAAAAAAGTCTTAAGATATATATTTACTGTTACAGGAAAACCCAAATGCTACATAACATAACTCTTTTTAGGTATCCCCTAGTGATATTAACTGCTTTGCCATACACAAGTCACTGTTCCATTTGAGCCTTACAACAGTCACAGGAAGTAGCTTGACAAATCACCATTTTACATATGAGGAGACTCAGAAAAGTTGTGACTTGTTTGAATTTGGCCTGTAAATAGAAGACATAGGATTTAACCCATTTTGAGGTCCAAATTCATGGCTCTTTCCCTTGTATTATGATGTCAAACACCTAATGATCTTCTTTCAATATGAAAGGCTATGCTTCTCAGATTCTTCTATAGGACAGATGAAAAAGAAAAATTAATGATTTTTTATTCCCCTAACCAAGTGTTATATATACACTCTAGCAGCTTATAAACCCCTGCCCTATATTTTGAACTACAAGGGCTTAATGCATACCTGAAATTCTTTCTTGCTCCAAGAGCTTAGTGTAAAGATTGAATATCTGTTCCTGGACTTTGCACACAGATCGTTTAATCTTTTCCCTGCGGGTCACCATGTAAGTGAGGTTCCGAACCTACAATGCAGAGAATAAAGATTCTTAGTAAGCGTAACATTACAACAGTTCTTTGGTGCTATTTTTTTTTTTCAACCTGGAGAAATTGGTCCTATTAGGGCCTTCACAGAAATCTGAAATCAAAATGTACTTTAAGCATTTCAGTCTATCTCCTTTCAGTCTGCTAATAAAGATTCTGCCATGTACCTCGTCAATTTAGACAGCAGTAAAACAGGAAGGGGTTAAGTTGTGAAAGGAACATCTACAAAAGCGCCCCCCCCCGCCCCCCGCCCCCGTTTCATAACACCCAGCTTTGGGCCTATCCAAGCCTGGCAAACAGGCAGCTATTGTCCAAGTTGGGACTTGCTATCTTTTGCCAAAGGACTTTGCTTACCACCCTCAATTTTATCTTCTTCCTATTAATTCTATTCTCCAAGGCTTTAGAGGCCACCTCTGGCTCACTTTTATCAAGCATCTTCTGAAAGTGGAACGAGGCAAGCACAGGGTCAAGGGCTATCAGTAGAGGAGCCACCTAAGGCTCACCAAGAATCCAAGTAATCTTTTTTGCCAATTGGACACTGAACTTTCTGAAATGCCTGGAGCTACCACACAGCTAGCCAATTGCTACACATCTTCCTTCTGGCTCTGCCACTAATTTGCTGTGTCAGCATTTCAAGTCTAGATTTCTATATCACCACTTCAAAAACAAAAAATTACATTGCCTTCTTCCTGATTCATTTTTAAGTAACTGAAGACTCAAATGCTAAGAATTCCTTATCTGAAGTGCAACCACTGGGGTTTGCATGTACATGCTCACTAACCATATTAATGCTTAGATTCATTCCTGTTTTTAAAGCCACCTGTGGTCATTCAATACAGAAGCAAAATTTAAAGAATTAGTCAAAGCCCTTAATCCTTCAGTTCCAATATGCTCCTCTATTGGCAACCCTGACTTGATTACATGGACTGAAAATACAAATGTCAAATGTAACACTGGATATACAACTAAACCTTTCCTCAAGAATATCAGACAAGACCTCCCAAATTATCTCAGTGGCAGGAGTGAAAAATGACCATGTATTCACAATCAGCACCTACCATTAATGACCTAAAAAACCAAAAATCCAACAGTTACTGTCTAGTCACTTCTGACTCATAGCAACCCTGTAAGACAGAGCAGAACTTCCCCACTGGGTCTCCAAGGCTATAATCTTTATGGAAGCAGACTGCCACATCCTTTCAGGTGGCAGCTGAGCACTTTAGCCACTCTGCCGCCAGGGCTCCTGAACCATTAATGATATGAGTACCCAAAATCCAAACCAAGCCTGTTGCTGTTGAGTCAACTGAGACTGATAGTGACCCCATGTGTTACAGAGTAGAACTGCCCCATAGGGTTTTCTTGGGGGTAATCCTTCTGGAAGCAGATCACCAGGCCTTTCTTCCATAGCACCACTGGGGAGGCTCCGACTTCCAATCTTTAGGTTACTAGTCAAGCACAAACCATTTGTGCCCCCCAGGGACCTCAGTGACGTGACTCCTCTCCTAAATATCACATCTACCTTATGCTTGGGGTAACTTCTTCCTCCACTAACTTCCTTTAAATGAAAAAGGTTCAAGTCACCAAGGTTCTCTTCTGGTAGTGGGGCTAACACCAATCCACATATGTACAAGATTTTGCACACTGGCTTATGTACAGACATCTTCCCTAAGGTCTTCAGTCCTTTCTGAGCCCAAACAATTCAAGTTGTTTTTTACTTGAGTTGTTCCCCGCCACTCCCCACCCCCATTTGTTTTTTCCCTGAGTTGTGTTCTAGGCAAGCTTGTTTGCAAGATGATGTAGGTGTAAGAGAAACACAATAGGTCGCTTGCTTTCACATTTGCATCATGGTATCATTTTCTGGTTTAAACAAGAATGCCAAGTCAGGATTTTCTGGACCCTGACTGATTCAATTGACTATTAAAATTTTTCCTTTTATTTCTGCATAGATTCTTGGTCTTACTAACACTTCTTTTCTTGTTTTAAAATTAAAGAATTGAGAAGAAAATCACTCCTCCAATTTCAAAGTAAATGTTATTTTGGGGTTATTTGCCCTGGTTAAGGCATGTTCCTTATCAGACCCAGCCTCATCTCCCCAAGCCATAAAGTAGATGGTCTTTTGGAGAAGCCCTGACTGATCTGAGATGGAGGTGGCTAACAAACTATTCTCTTGATAGATGCTGCTACAGCCAGCTAAGACTAAGAGTTGAAACTCAACAAGAGGAAGGGGACAGAACCTGTATCACACTATCACAGACTCAGAACTTTCGGACAACAAACAGAATTTTTTTACATCAAGACAGGGAATCTGGCATCTGGAAGTAGAATTGCAAACAAATTCTCTTGACATTCTATGAGCAGACAGGCTATTCTTATGTCAGATATAAAGCAGAGAGGGATACATCTCCCTTACTTGAAATTATCCATGAAAATAGGGAAATCAGGGAATCTGAAATTTGTATGTTACTCAAATTTGTGATAGCTGCAACCACAACCCGACTTCATTGCTAAGTGGAAAAATCCTACTTCTATTCCTCATGATGAGAATGTCTAAATATAAACCAAGAAAGTAAAAGTCTTGGTTAATTTTCAATTGGAACAAATCAGCCCCTGAATAACCCAAGGCTGGCTGACCGCACTTTAGTACAATGAGTGGATCCTAAACCTTAAACCTCTTCCTCATTGAGGCTGGAAAAACTCCCCTTACAGGGTACCTCATCAGCACTCTGTATGTGATAAACTGAGGTTCTACTCTAAAAACATCCTGCTTGCCCCTTTCCTGTATACTGGATGAACACAGCTTCCTCCCCACCTTCATCTTCTGCCAGTTGCCAGCAAGTAGGTACACAGAAAAGCCAGGTCATGGGTGTATTCACAGTCTTATTAAACCCAAGTCACACTTTCCCCTAAAGCAGGAGTTCCAAATCTCAAGCAGGTGTCAGAAACACCAGGGGAGCTTTAAAACACAGACTCTTGGCTCCTCTCCCCCCACCAGAGCTGCAGGCCAGAGTGGGGTCCAAGAACTTGCATTTCTAGTAAGTATCCAGGTAATGCTGACACTGCTTATCAGGGATCACATTATGAAAATACCTGCCCAAAGAAATCCAGAATGGTATCAAAGGGTTTTCTTGAGTCCCAAAGACAGCTTACACACTGGAGCGTAAAGTGCCTTTTTTTTTTTTTTTTTTGCAAGCGAGGACTGTAGTCTCTATCAGATTTCAAACGTGACCATTGCTCTCATTGGCGAGTATGTCAGCCCACCAGAACTAGTTCCCTTTTGATTTCATAGCCAGAAGCTGCAGAGGTAGCATGCCTTTATCGGAGCAAGTTCTCATTTGCGGAACTTGTTATGTTCAGGGGAACAGTATCCCACTAGAGAGTGAAGTGGTGGCCTTGGGAATTTGATGTGGCCATCCACCACATCAGCAATCTTCTGAAAGTACTGGCTTCCCCAGCTCTCATGTAAACCATGCCTGTCATCTAACTTTCTGATCCAGGACTGGTGCCCAGGTGTGCAAGGCCCAGGGTGTATATCTGCAGGAAGGAGCAATTACCATAATCACTCATCAGAGCTGTTTGCATTTCTAATGAAGGCTACTCATTTGTTAGTTTAGAATTGACCATATGCCTTGATTACAGTCACATGTGTTAACCGATTCTGAGTACCCCCATGAAACGCTATTGTGTGTGTTAGGAAGAACTCTAACTTACTTGAGAAAACAAATTAGTAGCAGCATTGTTCCCCTTGCCCTAAGGAACCTCTGGCCTGATTTATTTGTTGTTTATAATTACAAAGAACTGTGCAACTACCTCTCTGAGGTATGACAGAGATTTCCATTTTTATCAGCCTCCACCATCACATGCCTCATGGCAGATTTTTGGAAAATGCTCCCCCCACCCCCAAACTATATATATATTGTTTTAAACTGCTCTAAATTGCCTGAAATCTCTTAGGCTCTTAATAAATTAAATGTTAAGTAATGCCACACACACACATACAAATCCTATTTATTCCCTGTTTCTCATACATCAAAAGTATCATTCTACTTAAAAAGCTGTTAACAGTGATGACTCCAAAAAAGTGTTTAGAATTTAATTGTAAATATGTGTTAATCTGAGTAACTTAAGCACAGAAAAGAGTTAGTATACCACAAGCATTTTCTACACTTTTATTTTGTGGTGATTGTGAGACAAACACAGTCCAAACATTAGACTTCTCATCCTCCCCTCCCCAGGAACTATCTGACTCAATAGTTCATGCACCCCTATTACAGCCGTTGTCAGGTTGGGATAATGGCTTCTCACCAAGATTCCAACTTATCCTGAATCCCTTTCTCATTTCTTAACAAAAATGCCACACATACATACATATGGTTGAGAGGCACGGTCTTCTTTACACTCACCACCAGGGGGCGGATGGGAGCACAGAACCTCACCAACCCTTCTCCACATGGACACTGCCTCAGCCTGAAGCACCCACCTTTCCCTGAGTCTTAAAGGTCTCTAATGAGCACTTAAAAATACTTTCACTTCTACATCACCCCTAACAGGGACAGACAGGTCTCTGTGAGATCTGGATCTTTTGGTTCAATACATTTCCAATTTGTCTCTATTCCTTGCCTACACTGTCATTTCAAATCACCCGTGAGTCAGATCCTCTCCCCAGCAGGTGAATCACTCCCTACTAACATGTTAGGTGCTTGAGGGAGATGTGTTAACTGTTTCAGGCCACTTGGGTGCCTTTCAGTGTAGGCTGCTTCAGGCCAGAAAGCCTCAGTCCACCTACTGTGCACAAATGAATTTAATCATAGCTTGCAGTCAGGGGAGTTAACACAGAAGGTGCTAGAAGATGGCATCCCCAATTAGCAAGCCTCAGTCAGAAACTACCTGCAGGGAACAAGAGGCCCTGGAGGCAAGACAGCCCACTCCTAATTATTCCTGTAGCAGGGATGGAGGTCCAGCAACTGGGACTCTAAGGGTAATGGAGATTGGGGGAGTCACAAAGCAGCAAACCCACTGAAGGAAGTGCCATCAGCTGAAACTCCAGCAGCCAATGGCTACTACTTTCAGGAATCCAATATTGTGATAAAACCACAGATCTGTGGTGTGCTGAGCATTCCTGGGGTTTCTCAGACAGCCCTGATGCCCCTGTGCAATGGGAATCCCACCCTACACAGAGACACACCACATAGACAGGGACACACACATGTAGAGAGTATATACACAGCCTCAGTGATGACTTAGCACCTCACTGCCAGGAGTGTCTTCTGTAACAGATATGCACGTGTGTGGAAGTTCATGCACACACTTCAGCACCCACAGCCTGCTCTGCTCCATGACAGCACTGGGAATGCCTCTGTGAACTAGCCAAGACACGAAGGTGGGCAGTAGGAGGCAGGACTTAGCCCATTGCCAGCACCTAGTTAAGTATTTCCCCAGGTTGAACAAGAGATTTTTCCTACCTCTGTTCCCCATAAATAAAATCCTTTCTGATTTACTAAACTCAGTTTGTAAACAACTCTGAGCCAACCTTGGCCTTTTTCCTAAGGCCCATTTCCCTCTACCTCTAGAATGCAAGGGGGAGAAAAAAGACACATCCCGTTTAATCTTATAGAACAGTAAGGATTAAGGGGAAAGTGTGTGGGAGGGGGGAATCACAGAGAAGCTCCCCCCCTTGGCAGTCTTGCACATAAGTACAATGAGTTTACCAGCCCATAATTATATGTAACCGACACAACCTCATGCTGCAGTATGTACAAGGGTCTGAGAATAAATGAAACTGGCTATCATTTCTTGCTCTGCGCAAGTGTTCGACTCTTTGCAATCTTCTTCTCTAAGTCACTATAAGGTGTCAGTGTCAATCATTACCCTCTCCAGGTCCTGCCGCAGGTGAGTGAACAGCTGCAGCCTCCTAAACAAGACATCCTGCTCCCGCTTCGCTAGATTGTCCTCTTCATCTTTCTTTGGAGTGATCAGGGGCTTGTTGAAGTTGACCTTCCTCTTCAACTTCCAGTACTGGTACAGGAAATCCACCACTTCCTCAGGCAGCCGCAGGGCCCTGGCGACATCCAGCAGGTTGACGAAGGTGTAGAACTCATCCTCCAGCTGCTGCAGCTTCTGCTTACGCACACTCACCCGGTGGGCCTCCTCCCGATTCTGCTCCAGGCTGGCAAAGGGCTCCAAAGGGTTCCGGGGGGAACACTCAGGGGCCCCGTTCTCCTGAGCGGCCCCCTCGCCCCGGCTCTCCTCGGGTTTCCTATGTGAGCTATGTTTCGGGCAGTAAGATTTGAACTTGACTTCATCATTCTCTGCTAGGATGGTCTTCATCTCCAGGCCACGATCGAAAGCACAGGTTACATGGAAGGCTGTTCGGCAGTTCTTCACGGAGCACTGGCAAGAACATGCAGAGAACAATGGAAAAGACTATTATGGAGTGACAACAACTAAAGACTTAAGTCCCTCATTGGTAGGCAACCTTACATACATGCACAAAAAAAGAGCTGTGCTTCAGATGTTCACTATGACAAGAAAGTTTACATGGACAAACACTGGAAAATCAAAGCATGTTCTAAGTAAGGTAGGGTCTAGGATTTGAGGGAGCCCTTTAGTTGAAAGCGTTCACAAAGCAAACCATAACCTTGTTAAAAAAGTGCCCACATTCAAATTCCCTCTTAAAGCAGAAACAAGCTAATGGATCATATGTGGCCCTGGGGTTATACACAAAAGTATGTGTGATCTATATGCAGAGTATTTAAAGGCACCAATTTGGTTTATCTTGTGGATTTGACCTTTTTTACTGTTTATATAAAAAGCTTGGATGATAATACTTTCCTCATGAAAAATGACTACAAGTCAATGTTTTAGAAAGAACATGAGTCTTCCTTCTTACCCCTAACCATGAATAGCCTCCAACAAGTAGGAAAACAAACAGTACATACACTTCCTGGAAACAGTACCAGGGCATGAAGGCTGAGGAGGGTGAATAAAAAGCCCCAGGTGAAGAGTGGAAAATAACAGGAGACAAAATGAATCAAGCCCAGGAAGGACAGTGAGGAAGCCCTGCTGACATGGCAGCTACACAGAGCCGGGGAGGCTCTGACCATGGGGATACCTTGTGCTCCACACCCAGTAAGAGATGGCTGCTCCGCTGTCATTTTGGGCTAACTGAAGAGTGGTAGCAGAAACCTGAGGGACCCACTTCCTGTGGTACCCAGAGGTCAACCTGGAGGCTAGACATGGTAAAGCTACAATTCTCCTCCTTGCTAAACACCTCCCCTCCCACTGCTTAATCAGAGCTGGAACTAAGTGCCTTTGATGCAAACACCAAGCCAGAGGCCCATAAGCCAAAGGCTTGGCTGAGAGATGTGATTAACTTCGCCTGTCTGATATTGCTGACTGAATCCCTGGAAGGAGGTTCCTTGTGGTGATTAAGCCCATCCCTTAAAAACAGCACTGTATTGTATGAGGCCAAGTGGTCCCCTGGGTTCACAATCCAATGGCTCCAGGCCAACAGCAAAGCTTAATTAAACTCACTCACCAGACCCAGAATCACAAAACCACAAATGGCAGAGGCTAGAATTGGGGGCTTTTCCCTAATCATGTTAGCATTTAAAAGGTGACGCTGTGCCAGCCATGTTGTCCTCCACTCCTATGAGGTCTCCCACTCTCTCCACCATTTCCCCACTACAAACAGCTAATGCACATGCAATAATAACACCAATCTGTAACTTTACCTGTAAATAACCTCAATTCCAAACAATGTGTGAAATCAAGTTTGGTGGCAGGATACACACATATGTACCTGGTCACTGTCATTAAAATACAAAGTGGCCTTCCCTTTCACACAAACTGGGAAGGAAGAGTGGGAACAAGTGTCTGAGACACTATCTGTGTGACTTCAACTACTCTCACCCTGACCTTACAGAGAAATGCACTGCAGTGGAATATTTATGCAGTACTTTTGTAAAGGCGCCACATGGCCTTCCTCTGGGTTTTCCTATTCAGGTTGACTCAGCAAACAGATGTTTGAGAAACGTAAACCAGAGCCTTCACAGCTGCAGACATTTCAGAGAGGAATTCTTTAATAAAATCAATCCATTCTGTAAAGATATGAGAAATCATCAAACCCCTTTGGCCTCTTCTCCTCTGAATTAATGTTCTGGGAAAAAGAGGTCATTAAATCATCTCTCTTCTAAGAGAGACAAAGATCCCATTCACCCGCCTCTTTCAAACATCAATTAAGGACCAGGGTGGACTTGCTGAGGAAAGGGCATAAATTTAATCCTCAGGAGAAAACATCAGGTAACTTGGAAGAAAATAATCTCCATTTTCTTTGGTTTGCCACAGCTTGTTTCCTGCAAGTGTATACATATGTACATGTACACACACATACGCCACAAATGCCTTTTTATTTCCAACCTAAACTTGAGGATTTCCTGCACTCTTTACCTAATCCAATTCTCGGGCCAGAGTTTTTTTTTTTGTCATGTTTAGTTTTAAAGGAATTTACCAAAAAACAACTTCACTTTTATCAAGTATTCCCCAATCATTTCCCTCAGCTGCCCTCTAAACACTGGGTCCATTTTGGATTTGTGGACACCGGTGGAAGTGGTAATAAAGAAAATAGCAGGTAAAGAAGTTTTTAAACCACCAGGTCATTAGGTACCTTACTGAAAGAAGTATTTATCTGCCAGAGCACAAATTGAGCTTGCCAAATGAGGTCATTTCTTTAAAGCCCACGACTGGCAATTTGACTATGCTCACCGAGTTTGTGTTCATTGAGTTTAGCTGTTTGTTTTCTGCATCAAGAGAGAAGCTGCCCAACACAGTTGCTCTGCTCTCACAACATGACAAGGAAACCAGCACACCACTCTGCACTGGTACCTCCCAGGGGAAGGGCTAATCTCAGCCTATAAAGTCAATGTGAGTAACACACAACATTTGGAGACTCTGGTAAGCAGCATTTCAGGCTTCTCAAAAAATCATGACTGTCTGTCTAGGTAGCAATAAGATGAGGCCCAGACTTTAACTTCTCAGGTAGAGTTTTAGACAACATGAAAAATTAGACAGCAAGCCATCTACATTCCCTCTTCAATTCCATCTGTGCCTCACAACTTCCTAAGCATCTGAATGTAGACACAGAAAATGCATGCAACGTTTTTACACAGAAGCTCACTCTCTCTCTCTCTCACATACAGTGCCATAAAGAATCAGATATCCAGATTGTGTTCACATAACACTTAACTGTAGTACCTTGTATCTGCCCTTCTATCCAGTCATAGCTCCAAGAAGGAATTTGTGTTTTAACAAAGTAAAAGCATTGGCATGCCAAGCTGATTACCAGCAGGTGTGTCCTAAGGGCATGAACACACCTACAGGCAGGGGAATGAGAAGCCTCAGGATGTGGGTCTACCCGTGATTGTTACAGCTTTGGCTCTGGTTACACTGTACGTAATCAGCCAACTAAAGATGTTTGCACCAGGTTGGAGTCTGCCCTATGGAACTGCGGAAAGGCTGCCAGACTCTAATCCGGATTCTAGTCCCAACTCCACACCCTCCAAACAGTTCACAGAGCCCTCCCTTGTCCTACTCCCCACAACACAGGGGAGGAAAAGGAAGCCATTCTTATGCACTAATTACCTGTATGGAGGCCCCAAACTTCTCATTGCAGAGGCTGCACACAAGTGCCCACCGGCTGCTGGGGATATGCGAGACCTTGGTGATGGGTTCCATCTTTTCAGGGCTGCCAATGCTCACCTACAGGTCCAAGAAAGAGAGAGACAAAGGAGCTGTCAGACAGAAGCTGAAAATGGAAAGTAAAAACTTAAAAATCCATTACCTTCCTGCACCCCTCCTACCACACAAGTGTCACTGGACACTAACTCTGCAAGAACAAGCAAATCGTCAGAACAGACCACCAAGGGCCCCACTCTGAGACAAGAGCACTAGAGCATAGAACACACTCCCAGTACCCCATGCCCTCATGGACCCAGGAAATCTGTCCAATGCCAAGCATCCTCATTTGTGGGAACACCCAAATAACCAAATTTCACTCCTCATCTGAGTGGCAAAGACTCTTATGTATCAAGACAGTACAATCTACCATAACTTCTGGCCCACAGGAAGCGGTCAAGACTAAAAATACAATCTTAAATAGACTTAAAGAGGTTGTCAACAATGAAGTAAACATATTTTTAACATCTTGCTCACTAAAGAGAGCCATTCTTGTCAGTCAGAAAACATTACTGCATTCAAAGTGGGAAACTACCAAGAATAATGAGATGTGGTTTCTGCACTGGGCCCACGTCACTGAACTGCACCGTGTCAATGCCAAATCATGAGACTGGTTCCAAGACTCAAATCATGGCTGCCTCTTCTCAGCCTCAATCCAAACCTTCCCCATGTCATTTTCCTCAGGAGGGAAAATGCAGCAAAATCATACACCAAAAAATGCTGAAATATGAATCACAAATGATATTCTCAGAGTAAGCCAGGTAAATTAAATTAGTCAAGGTCTGGGACTTGAAATGAATTATACCAGACCTGAAATTTAAAAGGCTAAAGCTAAGTTAAGAATTTACATAAAAATCACAAACATGTGACCTAACCACGGTGGTACCACCTATAAGGCTCTCAAGACACAAAGATTTCCAGCTGATTCTTAGGGAAAGAGCCTGATCTGCTCCTGGAGTGTTTCAGGAAGGGGAAGGTTACCTGTACTGATACCTGAAGCTGAACACCACTAACCTAGAGTCCAGCTCACTGCTGCTCCCAGTAAACGTTTCCACAGATTTATATACCATGACAATATGATAGTATGTTTCAGATTCAGTTGAACAGAAAAAGAAATAGGCAGCAAATAAAAGATGTCTTTTTATTCATCGACTACATTTATGAATGGTTCCCCATAACCCCCCCCAAATCCAGTTAGAAGCTCCAACCTCCTGACCCAGGGTACTAGTAAGACCCACACCTACCTCAGGGATCCACAGAGCACAGCTGACGTGGACCCATTTGGTTCCACTACGGGTAGGTTTCATTGCTCCACCTTTCTTGGGACACAGCAAACACTTTGGCTGAACGCCCAGGGCACATGTCCGGCACAGCCAACTGCCCTCTGGCACCTTGAGGATTCCATAACAGGCCTGTGACACCACAACACATCCCCCAAGGAAAACAGAGAAACGATTTATTTTTCCAATTATTTCTACTTATTTGAAAACACCTACACAGATTTTAACACAACCATCACCAAAGTAGAGGTACCCCACGTCTACCTAGCTATGACCCTCTCCCCTCCAGGAAAAATGTCAGGCAGTCTGATAGTAACGCCCAGGAGGGGAGTGTGAAAAGGCGTGTCAGATTTAAAGACACAATACATATTTATTTAGCAGAGAGTGTTCCTGAAAACAGGTCTTTGGGGAGTGCAAATGATTTGTTCTTGGCTACTAACCGAAAAGCTGGTGGTTTGAACCCATTCAGAGAGGCACCTCTGAGGAAAGGCCTAGGAATCTACTTCTGAAAGATTACAGCTACTGAACACCCTGTGGACTACAGTTCCACTCCGACACTCACAGGGCCACCATGAGTCAGTCAACTTGATGGCAACAGGTTTAGTTTTTTGCTTTGTTTTATAACACCTGAGAACTTGGGGAGAGAAAGGTCTACCAAAAATCTGCTCTAATGTGTTGCTACAGAAACCCACCTATATATACCTTGTTTCCAAATACTGGGCAGTAAATCCTCAAAACACTCTATAGGACTAAGTGGGAGGAAGCTACTAGTCTCTGTTTGACTGATGGAGGTGGGGGCGGGGGGAGCACAAAGTGCATGAGTGGTGGAAGAGTGCAAAGCATTTGAGAAAACCCTCCCAAAACCATTAAGACAGGCAATGGAAATGGAAACAAACGAGCTTCTCTATTCCCTAGGCTAAGTGAACTCTACTATCTAGATCATAGAACTCTGCAGTGAACACAGATGAGGCACTCTAGACAGAATTTGGTCTCTTTAGCTGACACTTAAAACAAAGCCTGTTTTGCACATGATGGCAAATTACACCAAGAGGCAAAAACTACAGAAATCAAGGCTTTTATAACTCAAGTAACTTTGATGGCTTAAAGAGAAAAAAGGCTAAACATGTTAAATAAGTGAAGTAACAAAACCACCATGGTACCAGAAGCACATTCAGAGCCTTTTAAAAATCAAACTGCACAGAACTTTGTCCTTATATGAACTGAAAGTCAGGAAGTTGAGAGTCACAGTAACATAGCTCCAATTCTCCAGACAGAAAAAGCACAGCAACCTGAATATCCAAGACGCGCAGGAAACCACAAGGATGAGAGCTGAGTGAAATGAAGTAACCCTAAGACTGGCGCTTAGGAGGCAAAGCTGATGCCATGAATGAGCCACTGTCAACACACATTTACTGGAAAACAAAACTCTGAATGGAACTACATGCCACTATTAAAGGTTTCAGATAGGAAAAGTGGCTGTATATTACCTGTATCAGTGCACAGGCAGTCTAGAGGAAGTCACATTTGAAAATTAAAATAAAAACTAGAAAAGCAGTTCTAAGCTAATTAAAAAGATTAACTAAAGGATGCCATAAAGACAAGCCACAAAGAACTTCTCAGAAGAAAAATGAAGTGAATGTTAAGGGGAAAAAAAGAAAAAAAACAATGTAGTATGGCAGGAAGAACAGGGGAGGGTATATCCAGAGCCCCTGAGTTCCAATTCCAACTGTTACTAACCTACTGTGTGACCCAAATAGCCTTCACCCCAACTATCATATAAAATAGGGGGTTTGACTAGCAGTTTTCAAGTTTTTAGTAGAAGCATCCTTTTCTTCAAATAAAAGTTTTCACCAGAAAAAATAAAAACATACATTAAATGGCTGGAAAAAGACTGAAAAGTCATCCAAGTAAATACTCATCCAGTGACAAAAAAGAGCATCAGTGGTAGTCACCATGATAGTGTCACAATAAAACCACTAAAGCCATTCTCCATTATCCTAAGGAAACCTCAAAGTCTGAAAACTCAGAGCTTCGATGGGCTACAACATGACTAAAGCAAGAGATTATGGTCTCAAGTCTCTTCCTCAAGAGGAACTGGGAAAATGGCTCAACTGGGAGTCTTCAGTTAGAAGAAAGCCCAACAGGTAGACATGTTTATAAGGAAGATGATAAGAGTGTCAACTGAGTCAAACTTCCCAAAAGGTCACCTAAGCAACTATCCACACAGGTCTCTTTTAAGTCTTTTTAAATCTCAGCATCAATAGGTGAACTCAAAGAAAGTACCTCAGAATAGCCTTTTAAATCAGAGGAGTGAACTGTAGACCTGTGACTCCACACATATCCAAATTACTTCATTATTGCATTAAAAAATAAATAAAAGCAGTAAAAGACTGAGCAGGCACAAACTTTTTAAATTGCCTAGGGCCCATACTTACTGAAGTCAAAGGATTTAGCTTTCTACACACAGCATTAAGGACAGTTAACGACCTTCAAGAAAAGGGGCCTCTTACCTCTCTGTTCAAGGGATTTTTTCCCCAGTGTTCTTAATGCCTAAACTCAAGGTGTCACAAAAGGACAGAGGGGACTAATGTATTCTTTTTCAATAAACCTGACTTCTATAGACAGAAGAAAAACACTCAATGAAGAAGGAAGATTTCCACAGATTACCACAGTAAAAGCAGCAAGAAATACTGTAAATAATACTTATAAAAAGCTATTTGGTACAGGGAGATTTTGTTGAAAAAGCACATTTCTTTAAATCACCAAGGAGAGTGGAAAAACGGACCCCATTAGGAGAAAGAATCCTTACACTCCCCACTGGCAAATGGGCTCACAACCCCGGGTGGTCTCTGAGCCACGCTCCCTGCATACCTGGTGCACACAGATGTTGCATTTGTCACAGAACACCATCTCGTTGCCGTCCTCACCATCGGGCGACTGGCAAACATCACACACAACATCTTCATCATATTCAATCCCCAATCCTTCTTCAGTCTCAATAGCATGGTTCATATTGTCATAGCATCGCTGTTCAAATTCTTCCAGGACCCTTTCCATGGTGTATTCATCTAATTCAGGCATTCCTGAAGGAAAAGTACCACAAAACCCATTTTAATATACCCATATTAATAAATATTACAATAAATGTTGCTAGCTGCCATCAAGTCAGCTCCAACACATGGCAATTTATTTACACTTATAAATAAATAATTTTATAATACACAAATAATATTATAAATCAATCCATCCCTGGGTACCACAACTACTTTCCATCAAACGTCTCTCAGACCATCCAAGGAATGATCTGCATATTAAAAGGCAGAAACCGTTTTCCATACAACAGTTTGTTCCTATGGTTAGGCACTAAAGGTATGGTACAATCAATAGAAAAGTAAAAGAAATCCCAAAATGGCTCTAGGATATTAAGGACATATACAATTAATTGTCACTTTACTGTAATTATTGCACATAATGACTAACATGTAAGTGACTCCAAAACCAAACCACGTATTATGGTTTTGTTCTTTCGTTCTTTTTTCTTTTCAACATAAAAACATTCCTCTCATGGTACTTAAAACAGTGCTCTCAAAACAGAATTCAATGTGAGCCCTTGGATGTTGTTAACTGGCTTATCCCTCTTTACTCTCTCAATTCTACCAAGTTGCAATGCATAGTTAATCAGATGCATGGAAATGTCTGAAGCAAAGGAGACAGTTTATTGTGAATCAAATACAATTTTTTGCAACAGTGATCAAAATAAATTTCAAGTGGTTATTGTGGTTATAGCTAGTAAGCAGAATCCTAAGACTTTTATGTTTTTTTCTATTTATGAATATTTTCCAAGTTCCCTACAATGAAAATACTTGTGCAGAGGGGATAACAAGTTATTAAAAAATGCTCAAATAGGACATTTAAAAAGCAACAACAATGGATATGGCCTTAAAGCCAACAACATCCTTTAAGCCTTATCACGAATTTCAAAGCTGTCACATTAACTCCTCAAGTTCTTAGAAATTAAAACATATTAGGGCCAACACCATGAGATGAGCCCTAAACATATTCAAAAAAGCCACCCACCAACCATCTCAAACTCTCTTGCAATTATGAGACAGTATCTGCAAGGCTTGGCACTTTCATCCCAATTTCTCCCTCAGTTTTGAGAACACCACTGGCTCTGAAAAGGTAACACAATGCCCTATAACTTTTTTTTTTTTTTTTTTTTCAAACAATTGAAAAAAGACCACTAACACGTAAGACAAAAGTCTTCAAGCATGTGTTTAAGTTATTAGGTGTACAGTTGCATAATTTCTTCCACTATAATATTTAGCAATATTTTTAAACCTGATGAGTTAGCATAGTACTTATTTTTAAAACCATTCACAAATGCCCCAAGTATCTTGGCTGTATCCTCTGACTTAACACAGGACACCTAGAGCCAGTCAACTACATTACACTAGTCTTTAGGAAGCTGCTTACAAAGTAAAACTTATAACCTATGAAGATGACAACACTCGGCTCAGTCTACATTTGGGACCACTGTTATTCCCTCAACTGGTCAAGAAGCATCATGGCAAGACAACAAAAAGCATCTATCAGATTGCAGACCCTGGGCTAGACTCCATGGATGATATAAAGAAATGACACAGTCTTGGCCTTTCAGGGCTGGAGAATTTATCACCAAGTACTTACTATGTGCTACACTGAGTGCTGCTAACCAAAAGGTTGGCAGTTTGAACCCACCAGTGGCTCTATGGGAGAAAGACCTGGCAATCTACTTCCACAAAGATACAGCCTAGGAAACCCTATGGGGCAGTTCTACTCTGTCATATAGGGACAGTATGTGTTGGAATCGATTTGACAGTACACAACAAATTGTATATGGAGCCCTGAGTAGTACAAATAACTAATGGGCTCCATTGCTAACCAAAAGTTTAGAAATTTGAGTCCATTCAGAGCCACCTAAGAAGAAAGGTCTGGCAATCTACTTCTGAAAAATCAGCCACTGAAAACCTTACAGAGCACAGTTCTGCTCTGACATACATGGGGGTCATTAAAAGGTGGAGTCCAAGGCAACAGTGTTTTATAGATTGCAAATACTAGCCTGTACCACCACTTCATCACCCTGGGCCCACGACACACAATGCTAATTAATACTCACAGTCTCTCACCCCGAGCCCAGACTTGACTTCATAGTCATTCTTGTTACAACACTCAAGGCAACCTTTAGCACTTAGAAGTGGCCTGTAATATGAGACTTATGTGCTATTCTGGTCTCGACATAGTGAGATGCAAGTAATTGAGGTACAGAAGCTCCAACTTCTATGTACAAAAATATGAATCACTTACAGAAAACAGACTGTGATGGACAGAGTACTCAGCTAAGGTAAAGCTTCCCTGAAGGAAAGCCAAGACAGAGATAAGCAGGTGAGTAGAAAAAGCACTCCAGGTTTGGAAGAGGACTTCAGGAAAATTACTGAAGTGAAACACAAGTAATGAGTTTGGAAAAGAGTGAGCTTGGCTAGAGTGGAGTTCATTTTGAGAAATGACAGGTCACAGCTGAAGAAGAAAATTTAAGTGGTATCGTAGGAAAAAAACAAAACATTAGAGTAGGAAATTGTGTGGCCTGACTCTTCTGTGACCTAGGAGAATTCACTTAATTTCTCTGGATGGCAGTTCCCCAAGGTCAATGAATGAGTGATTAAATCAGTCCATCGAAGTTCATGGCATCTGGGCCACTCGGAGTCCTGCTTCCATCCCAGATCCAAAGAAGACATCCTGCCTCAGTCCCAGCACTCTTGTCTGCTGAGCCACATGCAGGCTTTGAGTCCATCTGAACACATATGCCATCTTCAAACAAGCTGGTATCTAAAAAAGAGCTCCTTCTAAGACTAACTGAAGCTATGATGGAGTTAGCTTCACCTAGCAAAGGGGAGATTTTACTATTCACCTACATGCCTAAATAGGTCCCTGGGTTTTGCAAATGGTTTGAGAAAGATGTATGGTTCGAACCCATGCAGGGGTGCCACAGAAGAAAGGCCTGGTGATCTGCTTCCATAAAAATTACAGCCAAGAAAACTCTAGAGAGCACAGTTCTATTCTGTAACACATGGGTCTCCTTGAATTGGCAACAGGTTTGATTGTTGTTTTTCTTTTTTAATATATACCTCTTTTGTGAAATGCTGCATTACATAATAAAATACATAGTCTCTTACCCATCTCTTTAAATTCTTCATTGGTCAGTTCCAGCCACGCAGCATCCATGTCATTGAGGTCATAACGACACACACTGTCAGCCAGTGTTCGGATATCCACGTAGCCCAACTCTGGAGGTTCAGAGCCCGACGAGACAATGTATTTCTTAGGCCTGATGAACATGAGGGACTTCTCTTCAGACACGACCCTACTTCACAAGAACATAGGGCAGCCAGGTTACCCTTTATGCCACATAAAAGGAAATTTGTGAGAAGGCCCCAGGTGCAGTTTCCTACTTCAAACCTCAAAAACCCATGTCGTCACCCAAAAACCACCATAGGAGTAACCCAGATTAATAAAAGACATAAGTTTAAAGCCTTAATGTCACTGTTAATAAAACTCTAACTAGAAGTTAAAGCCACTTAATATGGAAATAAATACAAGTCATAACATGGCAAAAGTCTTCAAACCCAGCTGCTCTGCCTCTTAGTTTCTTAGGACACCACCATGCCGTACATTCTCTAAGGCAGTGGTTTCTCTGGCCTGCTGGCAACACCAAAAAACACTGACCCCCAAGTGTCAAGGGCTACCCATTAAGTCACTTTCCATTAGTCAGGCCTGCCTATCTCTGTTGCAGGCTGTTAGAACCAGACGATCCAACAACACCAAGCTCTGAAGAGAACATCCAAAGAGGCTAGAGCAGCCACATGAGCCACAAGCAGGGCCATATGCAGCAGGGCAGTAGGGAACTGCAGAAGAACCCTGTCAATACTGATCTTAAAAATAAAGAGGGAAAGAAAATCAAGTCTTGGCCATTACTAAGAAATCCAAGAATCAGACAGTCACAGAAGTAGAGCACATTCATGGACAGGCACATGCTCTCCTTCAAATGCTGTGCTCACCCACAGCCTGCTATCACCCAGAGAAGTACTTCCCACCTCATTGCACTCAAAACCAATGATAGCACATGACAAGTTCAAATATCTCTCTACTTAGACTGAAGAGCCCTCGTCCTAAGAATCAGAGGCCCACATGCTAACAAAGTTCCTCCACATCTATGTGTTGCAACAAACTATGTTAACACCAACAAGCTGCCCAAATACTTTGTCACAGTATTCCCATCACTCTTATAATAACAGAATGATTTTAGCTAAACTACTCTGAAATGGGCAAACTAGAAATTGATTTCTCCTACTCAGCCAAGGGCAGAGCTTCAGCTCAAAACTTCCATGAATTGTGCAAATTCTTAGGCCTTTTTTCCTAGGCTCCTAAATGACTAAATGACTGAGCAAGTAATTTCTGCATCAGTGCTGCGAATGCTGAAAAAGCTGGTGCTATAGCTCAGATACAGCCTCTAAGGTAAAAATACACTTGTTCATCCTGCAGAGTCTAGTTAAAAAGCTCTCTGCTGATGATTCTAACCTGTGGAGGCCATCCTAGGCGCTTCTGATTTATCATTTAAGCCTGCATATTAATGATGGACTGTAGTGAGATATGGACATCTTTCTTATCTAGCCACTGGATAGAATTCCCCAGTAAAATGACAACTATCAAAATCAATCATCTCAAATGCCTGAAGAGACACAAAAGGAGTGAGGGAGGAGAAGTAAATTCAGTCCATACCCAGCAATGGTAAGAGAAACCACTTTAGAAAACAGACAGGTGACAACACAGCAGTGAAGAAATGAGCAAACCGGATCCAGCCATGTTATGAGGGGCATCAATGAGTACCCGTCTTTCAGAGAATGTTAATGGGTCAAGTGACTTGTAAGTAAATCCAGAGGAAACACTTCAAAAACAATTGGTAAAAAACCCATCCATAAGAAAACTCACCAAATAAATTTCTCCTCTACAATCCCCCTTGCCGCGTAATCTGTGTTGCTCCAAAGGTGGAGTCAACCACTACAGAAGCTGAGAAGCTGCCCTTCTTGGTTCCCAGACACTTCTCCAGTAAAACCCCTCTCTAGATTATGAATGATCAGGGCGAAGAGGCAAGTACAAGAAGAGAAAGCAGCCATGTGAGCATCCAGTTTTCCCTTCCCCAGCCAGTCCCTTTCCAGAGTGTCTTAGAACATGCCCTCTTAAGAGAGTAGCACTTTCCCAAGATAGCTATAAAGCTACGTTCAGAGGTCCATGGCCCTCAAAAATCACTACCTTTGAGCCTGAGGTGTGTTTCTCCTGTTATTTCTATTTCCACTTGTGACCTCATATTATTTTCCTGCTAACTCAAAAATTGGTCTTCTCAGGAACAATTTATCTACCCTGGCTGTTAGGAAAGAAAAGAAAGGAGGGGAGAGCCAGCACCTCTTTCCTCGGGATATTTTCTACCTGGCCACAGGCTGAGGGATGGTCCCGGGGCTCACTGGCACCTGGACCCCTTTCTCCCACTCCTGCCTCCACGGATCTGCCAACACATAGTACTCATCCGGGTTCAGCTGGTAGGAGTCATGCAACTTCATAGCGGTGATCAGGTCTGTCCTAAACACCTGGAAAGGGAGAGAAAGGGACACTGACATTTGGTATTTACATTCTTATCAGGGCATTGGCAGCTGCAGGGTAACCATGGTGCTGCCATGTAACAAGGTCACTGTATCAACATAAAACTCGTCTAATCTATTACAGGAAAACACTTAGCCTGACATGCCTTTTACCTTACTAAGGCTCAAGGGTGGCACCAACAGATCACTGCCCTCTCATTCCCTCAGTCAACAAGACAGAGCAGGGTCTACAATAAGACCACCAACAACAACTACAAAAACAAAACCTACCTAGAGTTCCTTCTCTGAAAAACTTCTAAGAACTCTCAAGTTACCAAGAGGACTACTGAAAATACAAACCTGAAAATCTTCAAAGGAAGACATTTCACTCAAAGGTGCTCATTTGGTAAATGCTAAAAATAAAAATAAAACGCCACTAACCATATAACAACGTCAAGCCAAAACCTTCTATAACCACCAGTGCTTCTTCTATATTTTGCTCAGTTCAACACTCACTCAAATTTCCACCACCCACCTCCTGCCTCCCGGGGCACCAGGGCTGATGGCAAACTGCTGGGGAGGTCAAGGTTCTAGTTGGCTAGTGCCAGGCAAAAGTACCAGCCTGGAAAAAGTCTGGGAGAGAAGTAATAACAGATGGCTGGAGGGGCAAGTCAGAGGGCAGTATAGCAAAGAATGTCTTGTTTACACACCTTCAGTGGCATAACTCCAATATGGGAAGTGGTATTTGTGGGGAGAAGAGATGGTTAAAAAAAAAAAAAAAAAAGGAAAGGAAAAGATGCCACTCCCCTCTCCCCACCCCTGCCATAAAATAAGACAAATCCACAAGACTCAAACGTACCCCTCTGCCAAGAGAGCTACTCAATTCCTCATCTGAGGCCAAAGAAGAAAACCACAGGAAAGGCAGCCCTCCCCGTGTCTGCCCCTCTGCAGACTCATCAGCCTGTGGCATCCATGGAAAACAAGGCCCAAGCAGAGGCAGACTCGGGCGAGCACAGCCCCGTCCACAGCCGGCTGCACACCCAGCTCCCTCTCCAGCCTGTCCTCAGCCCACTCATGTCTGAGGGCTACATGAGGAAGCTCTGACCTTGGCATTCGCACTGGCCAAAAGTTGTGTTTGGCACAGAGTGAGCCTGCATCTGTAAGCTACATTCTCTGTTTACACAAGTCACAATGCTGAACTCTCTTTTCTCAGGACAGGGAGTTCTTTCTTGTGCTGCTAAGCACCATTCACATTATATGCCTGCTAATAGGTCCATATTTGTTTTTCCTAGTGGCTTTTCAAGGTAGTGATCACTTTGAAAAACTTCACCATAATAAAATCTGAGGCAGTGTCTGAATAAAAAGGTGGTTTCTCTAGCCTGCCATTTCTGACACTGGCTGTTTGCCAGCACACCACTCCACATTTCTAAAGTACCAAGGACAAGCAAGAGCCTGGCCATCTACCTTCATAAAGTAATGAATAGGATTAGGCTCCCTGAAGCAGGTGCCCACTTTAACTTCACAGTCATCCTTTCACAGTCCACACAGACAAAAACTCTTTTAAAACCTAAGTCATAGGTCTATATCTTCAATAAGCAAATCAGTTAAAAAGATATTCCAGCTAAGTTTTAAAATTAAATAAATAAATAAGAAAAGGAATCTGCCAAAGAAGGAAAATCAAACTGAAGCAAAGAGATGAGAAAAGGCACACACCCAGCCCCAATCCTTTACTCAAAGGCACAAATGAAAGATTGGTCACAAATTCAAACAGATGCCCTCAAGTAGACCCGTAGGTCCCAAAGGTTTGGCAGAGTTCAACATTAGTGCTTTAAGTATGAAGTAATGTTAACTGGGGACTGAATTCAGAAACATGTCAGGGGCAAGGCAGGCATGGAAGGGTGGCAGGGGCATACAGAAGAAATAAAAAAAAGAAGCAGAGACATTCCAATGCCAGAAAAAAGGAAGGTTCAAAAGGACAAAAGGCCTAGAATAAATCAAGGTGACAACAAGGCCACCTTCCTGTGAACATCTGATCTAATGTTTGTGTGTCTCCTGGATAGTTTTCTATAATTCTAAAGGATGTAGCCTGCCTCCTCAGAGGATGCTTTTCCACAGCTAAATGATCACTCATTCCTCAACACAGCACCCTCTTGGCCTCCCATCACCATCTCAGAACCATGTAAGGTCTGCCCCAGCCCCACCATTACAGAAGGAGGCTGTCTTTGAAGGCATTCAGCTAAGTGGCAGCACAAGACCAAGTGGTTTAACAAAACCCATAACCTGCTTGCTTGAAAAATAAAATAAATTCATTTTCTTCACTGATTTAAATCCTCAGGACCCAGCAAAGGTTTTCAAAGAGAACAATCTCAGGATCAATCAACAAAGGCCAGCAAAGAGAAGTGCACTTAAAAACAATTGAGAGAGAGAAAGGGAAGTGGAGAGAGGTAAATAAATAACAGTAACAAAATGTGGTGGAACAGGAGGGGTATGTAAGATGAGAAACAAATTAGGAAAGAAGGGGGAAAAGCCTAAAGCATAATCCCCAAAACAAAACTCCCAGAACAATATTGGGTTGTTGCCAAATAAGCCACAAATGCATGGCTAAAACTAACTTGAGGCTGGCAGTGACTGGCAGCAGCGGAACTCGCTGATCTCCTAGGCAGAGGGTTGTTGGGAGCCAGTGAAGATGGAACAGAAAAGGAGAAAAAAATATAATTAATAATAGCTAACATTTACCAAGCACTTTTTATATGCCAGGAATTATCTGCATGCTTTGTGTGTATTAACCTGTATGTGTTAACCCACTTACTCCTCACAAGACTCCTATGAGGTATATACCTGTGTTATCCCCCCATCTTACAGATCTGGAAACCAAGGCAGCAAAAGGTTCAGTATCTTACCCAAGAGTGCAAGGATAGATGTCTATCAGCCAGGTGAGTATGTCAGTAGTATATGCTCATGCACGCACACACATTACACGCAGTCACACAAGCACTTAGGAAATACCTCCGAAGGCTTTCGATCTTCATGTCTGGAACATGAGCTTCTCCTGTGCTGGGATCTGGAATTCTGGGACCAAGTAGTTGACAGGCCTACAGAGACAAATATCCAAACAGAAACAATTAAACACTGCACAGATCACTGAGTGTTCACATGGCCCTGTTTTGTTTTTATCCAAATTCATTCAGGCTCTTCTCAGTGCTGAACAAGTGATGTCCAAGCCTTCTCTCTGGTAGAACTTCTCCACACTCACTTATTGTTTAAACAGTCATCTCCCAAAGCAGGCCCAACAAGCTCTCAGCTCTGTTCACGGTTCAGTAACGCTATGTCCTAGGTACAGCACACATGAAGAGAAAGGACAATAAGGCTACTGCTGGTGGAACCTTCATCTGTAAGCCTGCACTTCATAAGCAGTTTAATCTCTCATTTTGGTAAATACAAACCAGAAATCATTTTACTGACTTTTCATTAAGCCTTCTAAATGCTAGGATCATTATGCTAAATCCCAACCCACCTTCAACACATAAAAGCAATTTGCATTCCCTAGAACAGGGAACCTCAGACTTGTGGTGGAGTCAGCCTAAAGTGTTATGGCCAAATAACCTTTTAAAAGTGGCTACTCCAAAGAGAAGAGCGATCAGCCAAGGGGCAGTTTAAACATAGGTACTGAAACAAGGCGGGCTTGTGCTTACTCACTGATCTGCACTGAACACTTTCCCTTGTTACCCTCCCAAAAGGGACCGGGTCTCCGGGAGCTAGGTAAGCCCGGGCGGGCTTGTGCTTA